AAAAACCCTTTGTCATTTTGTTAGAACAAAGACTACAAGATTAATGTAATATTCAGGCTATCAACTATTATCTCAAAACACCAATTTTATATGTAGTAAAGTAACAAAAATAATTAAGTGCATTTTCATTTGTAAATTGTGAGTAGTTTAATGGGTAAGTGCTTGATAATGGTGTTCTTAACTAATTCAATAAATATCTTTTTGAGCATCCTCCTACTATTTGCTAAGCAGTGTTCTAGATACTCAGACATAATAATGATCATGAGGATGGTCCAAGATCAGGTGGTACTTCACATGGGGTTACTGTGAGTGATAGCACATAACAGCAGCAGTTCTAGGTGCCAGGAAAACAGCCATAAACAAAATAGATAAAATCCCTGTGCTCATGGGGTATACATTCTAGAGGTGAGAGAAAAAGAAAATAAGCAGACTATGTCCTAAAGGAGGTGAAATTTGAGTAAATTTTAAGAACTCAGAGCCCAATAATGAGATACTTAAAAAAATTTTTTTTTATTGTGAATTGGGCGAGTTTACAGAGCAAATTTCACTTTCCATGCAGCAGCTCACACTTTGTCTCATGACATTGACTGCAATTTCCCACAATGCAACAGGTCCCCTCCCACTTCCTCCCCAGATGTCTCCCTGTGCATACATAGCTCTTCTATTCTCCCACGATCGATATCTCCAAGGAGCGTTATCTACATTCTACGTAATGTAAACATTCAGCTCATATGCCTGTCTTTTGTATGGCTGGAAGCCATGAGTGGGTTCAATTCCAGACCTGAAGGGCAGCTAGGGGCCATAGTCTCAAGTGGTTCCATCAGGCTCTATCAGACCAGCAAACCTGGTCCCCCTGCTTTTTTTTTTTTTAAAACGATTTTGAGTTTTGTTTCACATTGTTCTCCCACTCTATCCCGGATCTCCTACATAGGTCCACCTCCGAGTGGCTGACCATGGTAGCTGGGCACCATCTAGTTCTTCTGGTCTCATAGTCGTATAGGCTGAGGATCACATGGTATATCAGCCGCTTGGAATAATTGTTTGCATGTGTCTGTGGTTTTCTTCATTCTTCTTTGCTGTGGACAAGGAGAGACCATCGTTGCACCTAGATGGCTGCTTGCAAGCTTTTAAGATCCCAGTTGCTACTTGCCAAAGTAGAATGTGGAACAATGTTTTTGTGTAGTATGTTATGCTAATTGAGTTTGATGTCCTCTATGACCATAGTCCCAAGCCCACAGGTCCAACTACTTGCTCTATCTGAGTAACTAGCTGTGGCCAAGAAGTGCCTATATCCTGTCCCTTGTCAGCTCTATTATATACCTAGGAGTTCTTACAGAACATAAAAATACACTTGTAGAAACATTGTCTACCAACCCTATACATGGTCTTGCACACACTCCCTGCATAGACATACCTAATAGTTCAGCCTGTCCATCCACCTATCTACCCACATATCAGTGTTTGCCTTCACTGACAACACAGTACTGTATGTGCAAAAGGGTTCATCTTTGTTGTCTGTACCTCCCATGCACCTCTGTCTTCCTCTTCCTTAATGCCACCATGTTGATGACTCACATTTGGTACATTGCCCTTCTCTTCACCCAAATCAATACTTGCCTCTACCTAACAGTGTTCCCTCCCTTCCCCTCCCCTCCCACCCCTGGTAACCAACAAAGAAAATATCCTTCCATACATTGCTTGACTTTTTAAAATAATGGACTAATACAGTATTTGTCCTTCTGTGATTGACTTATTTTACTCGGCATAATGTCCTCCAAGTTCATCCATCTTACATGGGTTTTCAGACTGCCTCATCTTTTCCCCCATGGAGTGGCTGGTAAGTTCAAACTACTGACCTTCTGGTTATCAGCCCATTGCCTTAATCACTACGCCACCAGAGCTCCGCTGCTACAAAAAAAGAGGTGAACCAAAGAGGTTTGTGTGAATTATTGAGTCAATCATCTTTTGCATTTAAGAGATGACCACCAATGCCAGGAAACAAAGCCACTGGACAGGTGTGGGGCTACCTGCCTACAAACTCTGCAAACCCAATGCAATAACCAATGAGGAGATATTTAAGGTATGAAAAAGTAGGAGCTTAAGGAACTTGGACTTAAACACTGACTTACTTGTGTTTTTAGTGACAAAACAGCCAGATTATAATTATAACACCTATTTCTTTCCAAGTTTTGGGAAAGCATAAACTAGGAGAGCTGTATCTGTCCATCAGCAGGAAGTTTTACTGTGTCCTTATGAGGACAAACAGTAGGGGTTGGTCAAGACAGCATTTGCAGATCTTATACACAGATAACCAAGAGAGGTCAATACACTGGTTTGTCTTACTCCTTTTACTTTTCACTACTTTCAATATTGTCCAGTAAAAAAATTTAAAAAATCACTTTGCTTTATATTTTGATGAAGTTTCAGATGTCTAGAATCTTCATCAAAATATAAAGCAAAGTATTTTCCTTTCTGTAATCATGTTTCCCTAGTATAATTTTAGAAATATAAAATCCCAAGCTAGTTAGCTAAAACTGGAATCAATTTGAGGAGAAGGTAAACTATTGGCATAAATATTTGTTTGAAATATAATAGGATACCAGCACCTGAGATGACTAAAAGACACATACTACGGAAGGAAAATATATATGATGTAAAAGAAATGGAGAGAAGTTATAGGTAATCACTGCCCTTGTAATAGGTTTATGCATGTATACTTGCAAAAAGCTAAACAAGTATAAAATAAATGGGATATTAAAAAATCTGAAGGGGAAGCTTCTACAGATCTCCCATATTTCTCTGATAAATTTCTGTGTTTGAAAAACAAGGGTTTAGTGTGGGAGGTGTGATGGATGATGGTTAGCTTTCAGTGCCAGTTTGTTTAGGCTGAATTATCCAGTTATTTAGTGCAATGCTGATTTAAGTGTTAGAGTGACTGGGTGGTACAAATGGTTAAGTGCTCAACTACCAGCTGAAAGGTTGGTGGTTCAAACCCACCCAGAGGCAACTCAGAAGACAGCCTGGAAATCTCCTTCTGAAAGTTCACAGCCTTGAAACTATGGAGCAGTTCTACTAGGCATACATGGGGTCACCATGAGTTGGAATCGACTCGACAGCAACTAACAATGACAAAAATCTAAGTGCTGCTGTGAAGGAGCAAACAGTTAAGTGCTAGACTACTAGCTGAAAGGTTGGCTGTTCAAACCCACCCAGTGGCACCTTGGGAAGCAGGCCTATTTCTGAAAGGTCAGTCTTGAAAACCCTCTGAAGTGGTAAACATATGGCATTATCATTAGTTGGAACTGACTTGACAGAACGGCTTGGGCTTAAAGAAATCTTCTATAAAAGTAAATGCATGGGCAACAACTGACCAGAAAGATAAGATATGAGGCCTATCATTTCTATACATCAAAACTTAACTGTCACAGTTGTATACCTGTAAAAACTTGCATTGGCAAAAGTTGTGTGATAGATAAACAATGATCAAAAAACAAAACAAAACAAATAGTAGCTGCTGAGGCTGCTCATGTACAACCAAATACCTTGTGGGATATGGTTCCTTGGTATGGAGATTTGGGGTAATGGTTATATGGGAAATCCCAGTTGACTGGCCTAATGTGTTCAGTGCTTCTGTTCTATCTCCTAGTTTGTTGCATAGCATCTGGGTTCTTCAAAGTTTGTAAGCAGCCATTCAAGGCACAGTAATTGCTCTCTATTTTCCTGGAGCAACATAGGAAGAAGGAGAGTCAAGTATAGGAGGAGGAACAGAATGTGTGGTCAATTGCCTCTAGGAACAACTGCCTCTTCTGCTATGAGACCAGAACTGGATGGTGCCTGGCTATCATTACTGAACATTTTGACCAAAAATTCTAAAGAAGAATCCTGATCAAAAGAAGGAAAACGCAGAACAGAATATCAAATTCTCATGGACTCTAAACTTTCTGGAGCCATGGTGGGGTAGATGAATCTCTGAAACTAGTGCCTTAAGATAATTAAACCTTAAACCAAAAATATCCCCTGAAGTCTTCTTAAAACCAAACAACAGTTTAACTCCACTAGTAAGGAATGTCTGCCTAAAGCACTGTGCTCATACATGGGATCAAAATGACAACAGCAATTCAAAAGATAAGACAGGAACCTGAGGGAGCACTAAGTTTATGTTAATGGAGGAGCAACAACTTAGAAAAGAAGAGTGAGAATGGCTGCACAACTTGAAGAATGAAATCGCTGTCACTGAATGTATATGTAGAAACCACTGAATTGGTGGATGTTCTGTGGTGTATATTCTGAACACAACAAAAACAAATTTTTATTTTTTAAAATAACACCTTAACAATTATACATTTAGTGTTTAAGCTCACCAAAACCTCTTTCACTAGTCTTTAGCTGGTAAGAATTAAGAAGAGGGGGCTATAAGATCAGCATCATGATATGCACTGGTGAGTTACTACGCAAGAAGCATAGACAATATAATGTGAATTTTATGACTATCACATTAAGCTAGATTCCATACCAGGGCATTTTCAGTTTGGGTGAATGCAATAGGACTTGGTCGCATCTTAATCAATTTACAGAAAGGGAGGGGTTCAAGCATGAGTACAAGCTGCCCTCTGACTCGGTATAATAATGTAAACATGAGATTTTTCCAAAAGTCTCCAGTGATAGATTTTTTTGGCTTGGTGGAGTCAGTGAATTAAAAAAAACTAACATAAAGCTAGGTAATGATGACTAAATCAATTTCTGCAAAAAATGAATACAATAAGAAATAATAAGATAATTTTGATGCTATTTTTTCAATTATAATTTTAATGAAATTATCCTTGGTAGAATCATCCTCGAAGGTGAAAGTAAGCAGGTGATGGTACAGCCAGTAGAAAAAATTCTATACTGATAACTTCCACCTGCTCAGCCTCAGACTGCATGTTATCGTTCATACAATCTGCTCAAGGTCCTACTTGGGCTCCATGACTTGTCTCCCTGTACTGCAGCAATAGGGGCTACCACAGCAACTGGGATCAGGGAGACATGTTATTAAACAGACTATACAGAAGTCTGTTTTACAATTTCATGTAAATATGACCTCTGTGAAAACACAAGAATAAATCACTCTAATTCATGGCTAACTTAGCTCACAGAAATAGATTGGTCCATTAAAAATAAGTATAACAGTCCACATTTGAAAACTTCACCAAGAGAAACACAAAGTACTGATGATTGATATCATCCTTCTTCATCACTGCTGCTCCAGGCATCTTCAAATGCTGGATTTAACTGTGATTTGGTTGGAGTCTAAAAAAAGAACAGGAAGAAAAACGATTATATTTTCTACTTCAGTTTTAGGCTCACAATACTGTTTAGACATGAAATATAGCAAATGAATAGCAATTTGATGATTTTGAAAGAAACAGGGTAGCTGTTAATTTCAAAAACTAAAGTATTTAAGTAACACCTTACACACAAAATAATATAACTTCACTTTAAACAGACACACCAGACTTTATTCAACTGTGTGCTCTTCCTTCAAAAGGTCACCTCATAAACACATACATACTATGATATTGCCTTTGCTCAGTACATTTCTGCAACTCTTTAGAACTACCTGGAGAAGGTGGCACATTAATATGCACGGGACCAAGATTAGACCCCATGTCTCCTATCTGACTTCAGAACCTGATATAACAATATTGGCAGCTTTTTACTGCTGATGGATCTGATTTCCGAAAATAAGGAAACATCCAGATATGGAGAATAAGGTGTTCATCAAGCTGAGTAATATAATTTTTGGCTCAAAAAGTAATGTGGGCTATTAAGTAGTGAGGTTTATTTTTTAATATGGATGATAAAGTAGTTCAGAAGCACATGCAAAGTGTGTCAGAAATACATACAAATTACATGATTGTAATGGCATGCAAGCTTCACTGGAAGATTTCTTTAAAGGAGCTCATGCATTTGCATTATGTTTATTTTAAAAAAAACAATAAAACATTACAAACATCTTACAACTTTTAATTACCTGTGGGGTTTCAAGTCAATTCATTTTTTAGATTTTCTTCTTCTCTGACAACTGACTAAAAGGGCTTAAAGATGGTATCTCTCTTGAAAAAACAATATTTTTTTTTTGGCGCAATGAGCCAGGTTTTAGCTCTTATTCTTATTTGTAGCTCTTACCTTTAATACAAGTTTATTCAGATCCAAATCCTAATAATGTATTAGCACCAAGACTACTCTTAAATTAGCTTAGATATATTTCCATTTGTAACATACAGAATATTTCAAGTTAAGGGTAACCCCTATATTACATATCTGAGAATTGTTCATTTCCTTCTGATTAACATGAACTGAGACTCATACTTCAAACAAGGATCACAGTGGAAAAAGTGGATGCTCCCAGTAAATTCACTGGGTCTTAGAATAGATGGAAAACAACATATCAATTTTGGCTTTCTTTGTAGTTGTTGAAGATCAGAGTCTATGACTGATGTTGGCTATCATCACTTAGATGTCCAACCAAAATTCCATTACACCCTAAATCTCCAGATAAAAGAACTATTACCAAACCTCAGCTAATCACCCACTTATTCCCAGCAAAATCCACTTATTTGCAAGAGCAGTATGCTGAAATCTGTTCATTCATTCCTTTATCCAAACATTTACTGAATTTCCTGTTCCTCTGGATTTACAATTTATTATGTTGGATTATTTATTGAGTGTGTGTTCAAAGAGTTATTGGCCTTGCGGGTTAGGCAACTCCTCTTTCCTACTCTGTCTTCACAAGTCTTTTAACTCTGCCTTTAATATCCTACAAAAATGTTTCTGGGTAGATAAGCTAAACAAAGGTCATGCCTTCTAATTCTACTATGGAAGCCTAATGTGTAACTTATTAACATTTTCATCTCATTTGATGGCAACAGTGAGGCAAAATTACATTTTATTATAAATTACTGTTGCTATGCTCTGGTAGCATAGTGGCTAAGACACTTGCCTGCTAACCAGACGGCTGGCGGTTCAAACCCACCAGCCACTCCTCGGAAGGAAGGTTGGGCAATCCTACTTCCGTAGTGATACTGCCTCGGAAACCCAAGGAGGGGTCGGTATGAGTCGGGTTTGACTCGACGGCACATAACAACAACAACAACATGGTGAGCAAAAAACAAAAATAATTAACAGTTGGCATATAAACGTCACTGCTTATAGTAAAGTGAAAATATATATGAATGTATTACAGTACTATTAAAAATATATTTTACTGCTAAAACAAGTACAAATAATCATCATACTTATAGTTAAACATGGCAGTAAAAATACTACAGATGGATATGTACACATATTACTGTTTGAGACCCCATGATTAAGACCAACCTCCATACATTGCTTCAGTTTTCTCTACAACTCCTGCTAGTGGATGTCCAGTCTATGCTTGAAAATATCCATCTCTGCTTCATAAGGGTGCCCTTTCAACTGACATATAGTTGTGAACATTATTAAGACAGAGAACCAAGAGTTTATTAGTCGTTATCCAGATAATTCAAATGAGGAACAAAACTATCCTTAACATCTAATTTCTTGGGATAAATCTTGATAAATTTCTTTTTGAAAATTACTGGAACATGTCTAAATGTGGAACGAAGGGTTGTCTGTGTCAGCAAATGAATATACATCTACCCAAGTAAATGGAACAGCTATGTCAAGATGAAGTAAGATTCTGGGTGACAGATCAAATTTAAATGTCAATTTAACTATCATATAGATCTCAGGTAGGAAAAGTAATTAGGGGATGTACCTAGCCTTGTCTTGACCATGACCAAGAATTGTGAAGTGAAGGTAAAAGGAAGCCAAATTCCTCAGAATATAATAAAACAGCCTGCCAAATAAATAATAGGATTTATGCTTGCTGTTAGGTGCTGTCAAGTTGGCACTTCTCTTAGCAGCCCTACGTACAACAGAATGAAACACTGCCTGGTCCTGTGCCATCCTCACAATCCCTTCCCTGCTCGAGTCCATGACTGCAGCCACTGTGTCAATCCATCTCATTGAGCATCTTCCGTTTTTACTCTGAGCCTTCCACTTTACACACATGGTATCCTTCTCAGGGACTGGTCCCTTCTGACCACATGACCAAAGTAGGTGAGGCAAAGTGTTGCCATCCTCACTTCTAACGAGCATTCTAGCTGCACTTCCAGGACAGATTTGTTTGTTCTTCTGGCAGTCCATGGTATTTTCAGTATTCTTTGCCAACACCACAATTTAATTCTTCTTTGGTCATGGATTCACTGTGTAGCTTTTACATGCATATGAGGTGATGGAAAAAACCATGACATGGGTCAGTCCACCTTAATGTTCAAAGTGGTATATTTGCTCTTTAATACGTTAAAGAGGTTTTTGCCACAGATCTGCCCAGTGTAATGTGACGTCTGATTTCTTGACTGCTCCCTCCATGGTGCTGATTGTGGATCCAAATAATATGAACTCTTTGACACTTCAATCTTTTCTCCATTTATCGTGATGTTGCTTATTGGTCCAGCTGTGAGGATTTTTGTTTTGTTCACGTTGAGAGGTGTAAGCCATACTGAAGACTGTAGTCTTTGATTTTCATCAATGTTTAAAGTCATCTTCACTTTCAGCAAGCAAAGTTGTATGGTCTGCATATCACATGTTGTTAATCAGTCTTCTCCAGTCCTGATGCCACATTCTTCTTCATATAGTCCAGCTTCTCAGATTATTTGCTCAGCACAAAGACTGAATAAGTATGGTAAAAGGATACAACTCTGACTCAAGTCCTTCCTGATTTTAAACTATGCAGTATTCCCTTGTTCTGTTTAAACGACTGCATCTTGGTCTATGTATAGGTTCCTCATGAGCACAAGTAAGTGTTCTGGAATTCCCATTCTTTGATATGTTATCCATAATTTTTTATGATCTACACAGTCAAATGCCTTTGCATAGTCAAAGAAACACAGGTAAACATCTTTTCTGGTATTCTTTGCTTTCAGCCAAGATCCATCTGACTTCAGCAATGCTATCCCTTTTTCCATGTCCTCTTCTGAATCCAGCTTTCATTTCTGGCAGTTCCCTGACAACATACTGCTGCAATCATTTTTGAATTATCTTCAGCAAAATTTTACTTGTGTGTGGTATTAATGATATTGTTAGATAATTTCCATATTCTGTTGGATCACCTTTGTATGGAATGGGTACAAATATGGATCTCTTCTAGACATGTGGCCAGGAAGCTGTCTTCCAAATTTCCTGGCATAAGCAAGTAAGCACTTCCAGTGCTGCATCCACTTGTTGAGATATCTCAATGCTCATTTTGCTTGATGACCATACAACCCATCCCTATCACTCAGGCTCTTCAGCCTCTTTAAAAAACTAAACTCCAGCCCCTAGCTGCCCTTCAGGTCTGGAATTGAACCCACAACTGTGGTTTCCAGCCAAACAAAGTACAGGCATGTGAGTTAAACATTT